TTCGTTGTTCTCCTCGGCGCCGGCGTTGGCGCTCGCTTCAGTCGGCCTTCATTGCCGGGTGGTTCCGCCGCGTCGTCGGCGCACCCTGCGTCGTTGCTGGTGCCACCCCTGGCGCAGTTGATGTCCTTCCTAACGGTGCGGGGCACGTTGGCCTTTCCTCCAAGTTCGCCAGTTAGACTTCCACCGACTCGCGGCGCGCCCTAGCGCGCTCGAAGTGAAGCGGCCCTCCGCGACCCCCTTGGCGCGCTCGGTTTCCCCTGCATGTTGGGCGAGCGGCGCGCAGATGACGACCGTGGCTCTGATGCAGGTGATGCGAGTCTCGGCGTCAGTTATCTGAAGCCTGGCGGCGCTTTTCTTCATTGTGACCGCAGCTGCCTCGCGCAGTTCTGCAGCCTTGACATTATTCCACTGGTCGATTGGTGGCGTTTCCCAATCAGGCAGGCCCTGCGCACGGGCAGGCCGTTGCGAGTACTGGCGATCTTCCTGGCGAGGGCCCCCTCCCCCTGCTGGGGACGGTGATCCCACTTGCCTCCGTTGTCCATCTGGTTGCCCTTTGGCAGGATGTCGTTGTCCTGGGCGTGGTCGTCATGCGGCTTGGGGAAGGCGCCCCTGCACCTGCCATTCGCGCCCTTGATGCGATTCCCCGCAGTTCCAGCATGCGTCGTGCAGCTGAGCTGCACAGTGTCCAGTCCACTGGTCGTTCCTCCACCTGTCCACATGTCCCATCCCGCACCAATCGCAGCATCGAAAGGACGCGTTGCCGGGCCTCTGCGCGGCGCGCGGCCCGACGTTGCTCGCCACAGTGCAACCATTGTTTGAACTCGTGGTGAATGTCGTGGCGGTTGTCGTGCACGTAGTAGTTCGCGTGGCCTGTGGGATCGTAGTAGGACTCGATCGCCAGCTCTGTCGACAGAGTCGCCTGTGCCAGGCGGGGTCGCGTGAGCTGGATGTCTGTGTTGACGCGGCCCCGAGCAAGGAACGAAAGCACTATGCCTTGATATGTGCGTTGTGGTGCACGATCGCGGGCCTGATGGGCCTCTGAAGGCCACGCTGGCCCCCGTCTCGGTCCCCCTGCGGGGCAAGGGGGGGCGGGATCGGGCGATCGCGGCGTCCTCCGCATCCTTGTCCTCCTCCTCGACCGTCTCCACCGTCTGGGGGGCTCTCGGACAATCAAAAAGCGGGTGGGAGAGCGGGTGGATGGACCACAATGACATCATAAATCTCGGACACGGCACACAACGACTCGAAGAAAAAACCCAAGAACCCGAACAAACGTCAAATACTGCGATTCCCCCCTAGGCTCTCTGTTGAACAATGCCCCAGGGGCGTCCAATTATTCAGTTTTCTGGGCGTGCGAAACCGCCAAAGCGGCCCCACATATCGCCCCAAGACTGATCCCAAAGGCCCCAGAGCGGCCCAAGAGAGCCACTCAACGACCCAACAAGGCTGCAAGACGACCCCATAAAACCCCAAGCCGACCAGGAACGACCCCAGGACGCTCCACGTCGGAACCATGTCGCTGAACGGAATCGCGACTCGCAGTACGAAAGGCCCCGACAAGACTCCAGAAGCTCCCGAAGAAGGTCCCAAGACGCCATCCGAGGCCCCCACGAAGCCCTCAGCAAGTCTGCTAGAGGGCTATCTTGGGATGGAACCTCTTGGGCCCCTTTTGGGCTCAAGTCGGCTTCTTCCAAGCCCTTTGGTAGTCAAATTCTGTCGAAAACCATGAGCCCAAACCATCAACTATAACACATATATGCTGAAGCTCTGATAAGATGTTGGCCGTCTTGGATCCATTTGGAGCCTTGGGACCACCCTGCGGTTATCGTGGAGTCTCTCGGGCCCCCATTGGGGCTTTCTTGGAGTCGTGGAGGGACCCTCTTGGATTATCTAGGTGCGCACTCGGGCCGCTGTCGGGGCTTCTGAGACCTCTCGACGTGGGAAGGGGCGTTTCGTGGCCTCGGTGCCACACGTTGGGGGGGCCATGCTCGCTTACGTTCTTAAGCGTTACCGGGTGATGACAAGGATGTCAACATATTGACTCACTGCCGTAAGCCCAAATGCCGATCTTCTGGTTGCCCACCGGGCTCTTCAAGAGGAAACACTGGCGGCCTCACATGCCAGTCTTCGGCAACGCTGCCAAAGAATTCCCTTGGGTTCTGGCACCAACAAAAGATCGATCATGACAGTCCCGCTCAAGAGGCTGCCCTTGATGAAAGAGGCCTCCCAAATGGGGTCCGAACAGGTGGTGTCGGAGGATCGCGCCACATCGCAGATGTATCGCTGATGCATCGCCGATGCATCGGCGATACATCGTCGACGTCTGCGACGCATCGACGCCGTCGCCATGGAGAAGATACGGCTCCGCATCGCGCCGCAACGCCGACACATCGGCGATGCGGCACGATCCTCCGACCACATCTGCGCGGACCCCATCTGTGAGGCTGCCCTCGATGAGGCAAGGATGTCCAAAGACACGCCGAGCGTACGTAGTGGTGGCTGTTCCAGACAGTGCCCGCCAGGCGGGGCCATATTGTTTTGGGTGTACATCGGCGACTCCGAAGGGTGTGGTTTGCAACCCGCGTCTGGGGGGCGGCGGGCGAGGACCTCGACAGGGATCCCTGCCGTGCCCCGACGAGGGCTCATCAAACCTTTGGCGCCACGCGCTGACCCCTATAAGCCCCAACGGCGCAGATCGCAAACCACAAACCGGCGTAACCACACCCAAAGCAGCCGCCGAGTACAGACAAGGCTGAAGGCGCCCATGGGCCTCGCCGACCCCCCGCGTGGCATGTGCGGGTGGACACCAGGCCACAAATGTGGCACGCCCAGGCCGTGCGCGTGGCACGCCCGTGCAGAGCGCGCACCCTCGCACAGCGCGGGGCAGGGACCGTGCTCCTCATACCTCCCAACAACTCCTTCCCTTTTTCTCTCATCCCTCGTCCTTCCTCCTTCGCTCTTCTCCCCGCCCTACCCCCTCCCCGTGGTGCCCGCAGTGATCAACAACGCTCGGTCTTCGAACCCCGATCCTCGATCTCCCTCTTCCCTCCTTCCCTCCCTTCCCTCTCCTCCCTCCCTCCTCCTTCGCCCCTCTGCTCTCACTCCTCACCCTGCGGCTCCACCATCCTCAGTCCTCCTCCCTCCTCCCTGCTACCTCCCCCTGCTCCTCCACCTCCTCCTCCCTCCCTCACCACTTCCCCCCCCCCCCCTCTCCCTCCCTCCCTCCCTCCTCCTCCTTCTCCCCCCCCCTCCCTCCTCCCCTCCTGGCCCCCCGCGGCCCGCTCTCCCTGGGGCTCTCCTCTGGGAGCATCCCCGGCCGCGGCGCGCCGCCTCCGAGGCCTTCGGCCACTGCGAGAAGGGGAGCGGCGGCCACATGTGCCTCCCAGAGGGGGGGCGACGAGGAGCACGAGGAGGAGGAGGAGGCGCAAAGGGGGGGCGAATCGGGACAGGGAGGACGAGGGAGGAGTGAGACACACGACGAAGCACAAGCACGACGAGGAGCAAGACAAGCAGGAGGAACAGGAGTCCAGAGGCAGAGGCCAGGTGCGGTTCAGGTGTACACCAGGAGAGAGTAAGGAGGGAGGGAGGGGAGGATTGGATGTGGGGGGGAGGGGAAGGGAGACGAAGAGAGAGAGAGAGAGAGAAAACAACAATACTGCGGGGAAGGAACGAAACAGATAGTGAAACGGAAGAGCAGAAGGAGGGAAAAGAGGGGGCGAGCTAGGGAAGGGAACCTCTTGGTAGAGCAACAACTCAGCTGATGAGGATGGAGGGGGGATGGAGAGGAGGAAATGAAGATGCAGGGAGGATGTACGTAGGATGTAGGGGGATGAAGCTAGGAGAGGGGAGCGGGGCGGGGATGATGACATGAGGCAGGGTGATCCAGATCATCGCCATTCCCCATTCGGCTCGCAAATGCAAGTCCCAGAGAAAATTCGCCTGGCGAAGGACCCAACCATACGCAGTTGTGAATACCGCCGCGCTCCCGATGTGGACACGGCTCCCCGTCGGAGCCCGACATGCTCAGGGATACGATCGTGGCCGTCTTCGCCGGAGCCGACGACGACGAGGACGGCGTCCCCCTGACCGAGGAGCGGAAGCAGGGGATGGCTCCGAGAGTTATGAGGGAGGCTGCCACTGGGGCCTTCGGTGGAGCTCTCATGGGGCCACGATCTTCGCGAGGGATGTGCTATAATGGCCCGAGGCCGCCATGCGAACCCTGCTACTGGCGCCTTCGGTGGAGCTCCCTATGGGGCCACGATCCTCGTGAGGGGTGTGCCGAAATGGCCCGAGGCCGCCATGCGAACCCTGCTACTGGCGCCGTCCGTGGAGTTCCCTATGGTGCCACGATCCTCGTGAAGGGTGTGCCGAAATGGCCCGAGGCCGCCATGCGAACCCTGCCACTGGGGCCTTCGGTGGAGCTCCCTATGGGGCCACGATCCTCGTGAGGGGTGTGCCGAAATGGCCCGAGGCCGCCATGCGAACCCTGCTACTGGCGCCGTCGGTGGAGTTCCCTATGGTGTCACGATCCTCGTGAAGGGTATGCCGAAATGGCCCGAGGCCGCCATGCGAACCCTGCCACTGGCGCCTTCGGTGGAGCTCCCTATGGGGCCACGATCCTCGTGAGGGGTGTGCCGAAATGGCCCGGGGCCGCCATGCGAACCCTGCTACTGGCGCCTTCGGTGGAGCTCCTGTTGGGCCACGATCCTCGTGAAGGGTGTGCCGAAATGGCCCGAGGCCGCCATGCGAACCCTGCCACTGGGGCCTTCGGTGGAGTTCCCTATGGGGCCACGATCCTCGTGAGGGGTGTGCCGAAATGGCCCGAGGCCGCCATGCGAACCCTGCCACTGGGGCCTTCGGTGGAGATCCCTATGGAGCCACGATCCTCGTGAGGTGTGTGTGTGCCGAAATGGCCCGAGGCCGCCATGCGAACCCTGCTACTGGCGCCGTCGGTGGAGTTCCCTATGGTGCCACGATCCTCGTTGTTTTTTTTTTGTTTTTTTTTGTCCCCTCCTGCGAGTAGGAACAGCAGGAAGCGTCCACGCCTCTCAGACTTCGCCGAGGGCAACCGGTGGTGGCGCACAGCGTCTGCAGCTCGAGGCCAGGCGCAGACAGGTCGGCGTCAGAGGCGCAAGCAGGTCAGCGTATAGGAGGGCGGCATACGACCCCTGGGGCGAGTAGCGCACGGCCTCAAACGCATCTCACGCAGTGCAGTATTCACAGTGAGAGTAACCTCACATTAATTTGAGAAGCCCTAATTGGCTGCTTGGAAACATGTGCCGGCTCGCGACACACATCGTGCGCACGGCCCACGATTCTTCCATATTTTCAGGTTTTTTGTCTCCCCCCCACTTCCCATATTATGTTCTGGGGAATCGACGACTAGTTGTGTCTGTGTTTTTCCCCTCCTGCGAGTAGGAACAGCAGGAAGCGTCCACGCCTCTCAGACTTCGCCGAGGGCAACCGGTGGTGGCGCACAGCGTCTGCAGCTCGAGGCCAGGCGCAGACAGGTCGGCGTCAGAGGCGCAAGCAGGTCAGCGTATAGGAGGGCGGCATACGACCCCTGGGGCGAGTAGCGCACGGCCTCAAACGCATCTCACGCAGTGCAGTATTCACAGTGAGAGTAACCTCACATTAATTTGAGAAGCCCTAATTGGCTGCTTGGAAACATGTGCCGGCTCGCGACACACATCGTGCACAACCTAAGATCACATCAGCAAGCTTCAATACGCAGCATCCTTGTATGCGCGGCGAGGTTCGAAATCGCAGCCAGAAAAATTGCCTTCGCCGAACAACACTTCAACCGCCCAAGGCTTTGTACCCGCAGCAGAGCGCAGTTGCTCCTCAGCGCCATCGAAACTTTTGAGAGCATTGTTTCGCAAATCTATGCGTGTCAGCACAGAGGTGTCTGACCTGAGGGCCACGACAATCGCCTTCAAGCCGACGTCTGTTGTCGTCCCCCGGAAACTGCGCCAGTCTATGCCAGAGATCACGTTGTCGGCAAGATTGAGTGTGGTCAACACCGAGCTGACCAGTCCTTCGGCCAGCCCCACGGCCCCTGTCGGGCCAATCTTGCAACGCTGGAGGACCAGCTCCTCGAGATGCGTGTTACCCTTAAGGCCCTCGCCGATGGCGATCGCGCCCGAGTCGCCCAGGCTGTTGAAGTCAAGAAAGAGCTTTTTAAGCACCGAGGTGTTGGACCTGAGAGCGTCGAATATTGTCGAGATGATACACTTTATATCGACCTGCAGGGTATCCGAGCTCAAATCGAGAGAGGTCAGCGTCGCGCTGACCGCCAAGTACTCGGCCAAGACCTTCGCTCCTGCCACATGCAACCCCCCGCCCCAGGCAGAGCAATTCCTGGAGAGGTTGAGCGACTCCAGCCGAACAAAATGTGGCAACGCCAGCACAAGCATTTGTATCTCTTTGTCGTCCCATGCCAGCTGTGAGAAGTTCAGCTCTGATGCTCCGGCACTGACGGCTTCAAAGAAGCGACGATACAGGTCGGCCACCACCTCAACGTCAGAGTTGTTGGTGAATGTCTTCTCGGTCTCGAGTAGCCGCTTCACATCGGCGGGGCAGAGCGGCGGCATCCGTGCGGACGCGCAGTCCCGCCGCAGAAAAGGCTCGTACTCACGGTGTGTGTCTGCCCACGCAGACAACGAGCGCACTCCCTCTTGACGCAGATCACGCCAATCGCGGGACTTGGCCAGCTCGGGGATCTTGCCCAGATTCAGCCGATTCGAACCCGCCTTGACCGCCGCACTGATCGCCGCCTCGACGAAGCACCAGCCCGAGTCCTCGTAGGCGGCGCCCTCAAAGCTCCCAGGCAGCGCGCTTTGCATCCAGCAGACGGTGGTCGAGTGGCCATACCAAATGTTGGAAGCTTTGAGCCCCGCGCGGAATAGCGTGCCCTCCTCGGCCGAGCGAGGCGCCTGGAAGAGGCTCGCAAAGTCCCAGAAGAGGGCGCAGTCTGGCCGCCCCTCCAGTCCAGCAGCGGCCCAAGCCTTCGCGAGGGGCGAGTTGCTGTCCAAGCCCCTCTCCCACCTCGCGTCCCCCGTGCCTCCGAGGTAGAGCTCCATCGCCCAGACGACGAGTGCCAGGTGGAAGGCCTCCGGATCCGGGTGCTCCCTCGTCAGCCACCTGTAGGAGAGCGCCACGAAGACCACCCCGAACTCCTCGCCCAGCCGCTCGGCCACGCGCCGCAGCTCGGCCGCCGTCCAGAAGGCCTCGGGCGGCAGGTCCTGACGACGCGCCAGGCGCCCGCCGCGCCTGTGGAGCTCCACGAGCCACCGGCCGCGCAGCGGCGCGACCGCCCCGCTGTCCACGGAGGCGAGCAGCGCGCCGAGAGAGTAGTAGTCGCTGACGGCGGAGGATGCCCTGCCGGGCGCGGGCCCCGCCCCAAGCTCGGCGGGCGCCCTGGGCGCGCTGTGGCCACAGCTCATGGCGGCGGGCGGCGCGCGGCGGAGGCTGCTTCGCCCGGCGCGGCGCCCGCCCCGGGCGCGGCGGGCTCCCTGGGCGCGCTTGAGCCAAAATGGCTACGGAATGGTGCCACGATCCTCGTGAGGGGTGTACCGAAATGACCTGAGGCCGCCGTGCGAACCCTGCCACTGGCGCCTTCGGTGGAGCTCCCTATGGGGCCACGATTCTCGTGAGGGGTGTGCCGAAATGGCCCGGGGCCGCCATGCGAACCCTGCCACTGGGGCCTTCGGTGGAGCTCCTGTTGGGCCACGATCCTCGTGAGGGGTGTGCCGAAATGGCCCGAGGCCGCCATGCGAACCCTGCCACTGGGGCCTTCGGTGGAGTTCCCTATGGGGCCACGATCCTCGTGAGGGGTGTGCCGAAATGGCCCGAGGCCGCCATGCGAACCCTGCCACTGGGGCCTTCGGTGGAAATCCCTATGGAGCCACGATCCTCGTGAGGTGTGTGTGTGTGCCGAACTGGCCCGAGGCCGCCATGCGAACCCTGCTACTGGCGCCGTCGGTGGAGTTCCCTATGGTGCCACGATCCTCGTATTTTTTGTTTTTTTTTGTCCCCTCCTGCGAGTAGGAACAGCAGGAAGCGTCCACGCCTCTCAGACTTCGCCGATGGCAACGGGTGGTGGCGCACAGCGTCTGCAGCTCGAGGCCAGGCGCAGACAGGTCGGCGTCAGAGGCGCAAGCAGGTCAGCGTATAGGAGGGCGGCATACGACCCCTGGGGCGAGTGGCGCACGGCCTCAAACGCATCTCACGCAGTGCAGTATTCACAGTGAGAGTAACCTCACATTAATTTGAAAAGCCCTAATTAGCTGCTTGGAAACATGTGCCGGCTCGCGACACACATCGTGCGCACGGCCCACGATTCTTCCATATTTTCAGGTTTTTTGTCTCCCCCCCACTTCCCATATTATGTTCTGGGGAATCGACGACTAGTTGTGTCTGTGTTTTTCCCCTCCTGCGAGTAGGAACAGCAGGAAGCGTCCACGCCTCTCAGACTTCGCCGAGGGCAACCGGTGGTGGCGCACAGCGTCTGCAGCTCGAGGCCAGGCGCAGACAGGTCGGCGTCAGAGGCGCAAGCAGGTCAGCGTATAGGAGGGCGGCATACGACCCCTGGGGCGAGTAGCGCACGGCCTCAAACGCATCTCACGCAGTGCAGTATTCACAGTGAGAGTAACCTCACATTAATTTGAGAAGCCCTAATTGGCTGCTTGGAAACATGTGCCGGCTCGCGACACACATCGTGCACAACCTAAGATCACATCAGCAAGCTTCAATACGCAGCATCCTTGTATGCGCGGCGAGGTTCGAAATCGCAGCCAGAAAAATTGCCTTCGCCGAACAACACTTCAACCGCCCAAGGCTTTGTACCCGCAGCAGAGCGCAGTTGCTCCTCAGCGCCATCGAAACTTTTGAGAGCATTGTTTCGCAAATCTATGCGTGTCAGCACAGAGGTGTCTGACCTGAGGGCCACGACAATCGCCTTCAAGCCGACGTCTGTTGTCGTCCCCCGGAAACTGCGCCAGTCTATGCCAGAGATCACGTTGTCGGCAAGATTGAGTGTGGTCAACACCGAGCTGACCAGTCCTTCGGCCAGCCCCACGGCCCCTGTCGGGCCAATCTTGCAACGCTGGAGGACCAGCTCCTCGAGATGCGTGTTACCCTTAAGGCCCTCGCCGATGGCGATCGCGCCCGAGTCGCCCAGGCTGTTGAAGTCAAGAAAGAGCTTTTTAAGCACCGAGGTGTTGGACCTGAGAGCGTCGAATATTGTCGAGATGATACACTTTATATCGACCTGCAGGGTATCCGAGCTCAAATCGAGAGAGGTCAGCGTCGCGCTGACCGCCAAGTACTCGGCCAAGACCTTCGCTCCTGCCACATGCAACCCCCCGCCCCAGGCAGAGCAATTCCTGGAGAGGTTGAGCGACTCCAGCCGAACAAAATGTGGCAACGCCAGCACAAGCATTTGTATCTCTTTGTCGTCCCATGCCAGCTGTGAGAAGTTCAGCTCTGATGCTCCGGCACTGACGGCTTCAAAGAAGCGACGATACAGGTCGGCCACCACCTCAACGTCAGAGTTGTTGGTGAATGTCTTCTCGGTCTCGAGTAGCCGCTTCACATCGGCGGGGCAGAGCGGCGGCATCCGTGCGGACGCGCAGTCCCGCCGCAGAAAAGGCTCGTACTCACGGTGTGTGTCTGCCCACGCAGACAACGAGCGCACTCCCTCTTGACGCAGATCACGCCAATCGCGGGACTTGGCCAGCTCGGGGATCTTGCCCAGATTCAGCCGATTCGAACCCGCCTTGACCGCCGCACTGATCGCCGCCTCGACGAAGCACCAGCCCGAGTCCTCGTAGGCGGCGCCCTCAAAGCTCCCAGGCAGCGCGCTTTGCATCCAGCAGACGGTGGTCGAGTGGCCATACCAAATGTTGGAAGCTTTGAGCCCCGCGCGGAATAGCGTGCCCTCCTCGGCCGAGCGAGGCGCCTGGAAGAGGCTCGCAAAGTCCCAGAAGAGGGCGCAGTCTGGCCGCCCCTCCAGTCCAGCAGCGGCCCAAGCCTTCGCGAGGGGCGAGTTGCTGTCCAAGCCCCTCTCCCACCTCGCGTCCCCCGTGCCTCCGAGGTAGAGCTCCATCGCCCAGACGACGAGTGCCAGGTGGAAGGCCTCCGGATCCGGGTGCTCCCTCGTCAGCCACCTGTAGGAGAGCGCCACGAAGACCACCCCGAACTCCTCGCCCAGCCGCTCGGCCACGCGCCGCAGCTCGGCCGCCGTCCAGAAGGCCTCGGGCGGCAGGTCCTGACGACGCGCCAGGCGCCCGCCGCGCCTGTGGAGCTCCACGAGCCACCGGCCGCGCAGCGGCGCGACCGCCCCGCTGTCCACGGAGGCGAGCAGCGCGCCGAGAGAGTAGTAGTCGCTGACGGCGGAGGATGCCCTGCCGGGCGCGGGCCCCGCCCCAAGCTCGGCGGGCGCCCTGGGCGCGCTGTGGCCACAGCTCATGGCGGCGGGCGGCGCGCGGCGGAGGCTGCTTCGCCCGGCGCGGCGCCCGCCCCGGGCGCGGCGGGCTCCCTGGGCGCGCTTGAGCCAAAATGGCTACGGAATGGTGCCACGATCCTCGTGAGGGGTGTACCGAAATGACCTGAGGCCGCCGTGCGAACCCTGCCACTGGCGCCTTCGGTGGAGCTCCCTATGGGGCCACGATTCTCGTGAGGGGTGTGCCGAAATGGCCCGGGGCCGCCATGCGAACCCTGCCACTGGGGCCTTCGGTGGAGCTCCCTATGCGGCCACGAAACGCTGTACTGGGCGGGTGAACCGCACGGAAGAGGGAGGAGGGGGAGGAAGGAATGAAGGAGGGTGGAGAAACGCGGGGACACTCTCTTCAAAGTGAAAACCAACACCACAAGATAGTTGGGAACACGGAAGACGTACAACAGAGGCTCCAGGCGATCTCCAGCAAGAGCACCAGTCTTTCTATCGCGAAGAACTCGTTCATGAAGGATCTGATTGTGGCGCGGGCTGCCACTATGTGGATGCTGGCAGGTATGACAAGGCCTGGAGCGGCAAGGCCATTACAAGCAGTTCGGCGGGCCCCGAACCCCAAGCCGCGCGAGACTGCGCAATGCAGCCTCACTTCAGTCTAACAACTCTGGTCTCATGGTGGATTGCCATGCCCGACAACAACGGGGCAAACGCACGACCGCACCTAATGCATCCCACGAAGCGAACGACCATTGACAACGGAGGAACCAGGAAACGATCCGTCATGGCAGGGAAACCATCTTCAATGGTGCTGACATTGTCGGCGGAACCAGGACTCCCAGGAATACACTATCCTTGGTGATCCGGAGGATGCGCAATTCGAAACCGACATGGTCGTGGCAATGGTGATCAACGACGCGGCCGCGCTTCTGGCAAATAATGGATGGCGAGGTCGCAGAGACTAGTTGGCCTGCCGACGTTCCACAACGCTGCCTTCAAGGCAGTCGCAAGACCGTTGGCCGATTGGGCCCCAGCGCCGGCCGAACTGGCGACGATCAGTCAAGCGTAAACTGGTAGAAACAGCGAGAAAATGCGCAGCCCTTTCCGCCATACATTCACTTGTTCGAAAAGAATGAGGACGGACGGAACGCAACAATCTGTAAAACGACCCGCCAGTCGGCTTGATAAACGCGGATCGCAAAAAAAAAAAAACACTCATTCTGCAATCTATAAGCGCAATCCACTGCGCAGAGCCACCCGTTTCCTGAACAAACACCTTGCGTGGGGACGGGATGCGCCCGAATGAACAAAACGTACAAACTGATCCGACGAAGGAAGATTAATACGAGGGAGGGAACAAGTTGGGTCGTGGGTTGCGCAATCCATGAATTAAGCTATGCGTTACGCGATCCATTGGTTGCACCAAAAAGATACATCACCTATGGGTTGTGCCAAAAAGTTTGCGCCATCCATGCGCTGCTGCGCCATGGGATTTATGCCATCCATGGGTGGTTCCGCGCCGTTGGTTGCGCATCCGTAGGGTGCGCAGGGATTTCGCCATAGGTGGCGCCCTAAGCTGTCGATCGTTAGACGGCATTGTGCCTGAGCTTGCGTCATGGGCTGCTGAACATAAAACAGCCTGGCACTGGTGGCGCTGTGGGTTGCCTACTTTGCTGCCTAAAAACCCAACTATCGGCTGCGCTCTCGGCAGACGAACACAAAGCGGCATGCTCCCGATTGCCTGCCATCTGCGATTGCTTCGCATTCGGAGGCCGGGTGAGAAGGGGAACAAAAAAAAAAACGCGATCGCTGGCGACATTGGATGCACTCCGGGCGTCCGAACAGGAAGCGGCTGCCAAAGGTTGCGCCATGTGTGACGTACTCGGCGGCCTGACAAAAGTAAAAAAGCCTGCGATCGGTTGCGCTGTACGTCGCGCGGTCGGCCGCCGAACATAGCCCAGTCTGCTATGGCTTGCACCATAGATCGCACACTCGGCGGCGGAAGCTGCAACGGCCGCCTGACGCTTGCTTGCTCAGTCTATTGCACGTGAGTATCCATCGAGGCGGCGCTCGACAGCGATGCCACCCAAGAGGGAAGAACGGCACCCAATCCACGTTGGGCGAACCGCGGCCGGACGCCTCTTTGTCGAATCGCCAACCCGCCACGTCAACCGACGCTGGCAGGTGACGCGCCCAACCCGTCACGTCGACTGTCGTCTGGAGGTCGGAAAGGGGTGTGGCATAAAGGGGCAATGTGCCAATCGTGGACATGGCGATGCAATCTGCTGTGAACAACATCCCCAGAGTGCCCTTGAACATCAAATTAACACCACACCCCTTTTATATTATACCCCCTTCATGCCTCCAGATGACGCTGGCGGGTGGCGCCTCAGGGCGCAGGCCGAAGCACGCGGGCAACGCGCGCCCCTCGAGGGTGACGGGCGGGGGAACACGAAACCGCGACCGCGGGCGCGCCCGACGCAGCATGGCAAGCGGACGCGCCGCGCGTCGCCCCAGAGATCAACCGAAGCTTCACCATGGCAGGCAGAGGACGGCGCCCTGGGCGGACGCCCTAGATGGCCACAATGGGCAGGTAGAGCGCCGCGGGCATGACCGGGCACTCGATGCCCCGCCCCGCGGCCAGGCGGCAGAATGGAAACATGTCGACCGCGCTCGGAAAGGGGGGTGGGCAAGCAAAAGTGGACACCAACGCATGGCCGCGCGGCGCGCCATCAAGCCCACGCGGTGGCCTGGCCCGCCCGACGGAGCGGCGGCGCGCGGAAGGGTCGCGCAGCCGCCCGCCGTCGCGCTCTGCGACGCCGGCGGGGCGCCCCCCTCGCGTCAGTCGTGGTAAATTATTGCCGCCCAAGAAGCCTCCATCGCGGCAACGCTCCACTGCGATGCCGCCCAAGAGGGCGGCCGGACGCGTCAGCGTCGAATCGCCAGCCCGCCGCGTCAACCGAAGATGGCGGGTGGCGCGCCCGATCTGCCGCGTCGACCGACGCTGGCGAGCGGCGCGCCAAGGCGCCAGGCGAAGCTCATGGGCACCGTGCCCAACGCCGCGTCTTGGCGTCGCCGGATGCCGCAGGAACCCCTGCCCCAGGCTGATCGTCGCTGGGCGACGCGACCACTTGCGCTTCGGCGATTGCTTGGCGCTCCAACTTATCCACGTCAAGGTAACGCATCCACGCCAGCATCTGCCAGGTCACCGGCCCTGGGGAGATCGGCCACGCGACCGCCGAGCGCGACGATGACTTGGGCAAGGCCCCTTCTGAACGAGCGGGGACCATAGGCGCGGCGCAGCGCTGCGCACGGCGCCCGACGGGCGCTCCCGGCGCGCTGGCCAGCCCATGGAGCGCAACCCTCGGGCCGAGAAAGCAGCCGCGTGCCCAGGGCGTGTGCCGGGCACGTGGCGCGAGAAGGATTGCGCCAACACTCGCGCGCGATCGTCGTCCGCAATTCGCGTTTCTTGCGTCTGCCGAGAGAAAGAACGGCGGTCTCCTCGACAATGAACAGACCCGCGCGCAACCGCGAGGCGTCGGCAAGCGAGGCGGCTCGTTGGCTAACAATCGCCTCGGAGGGTAGACGAAGAAGAAACGCGTGTGACACCGCGAAATGCATGCCCAGGCCGCGCCCGGGCGTTCCAGAAGCCGCTCGACCAAACTCATGCGGATTGCTATGCGGGGCCGCTCGGAACAACCTGAACGCTTCTCGATGGCCACCTTTGCCCCGGTCAGTGATGCGCGCGAAAGAGCTGTGTCAGGCGCCCGCGCGACGCGGCGTTCTTGAGGCGCGAGAGATCATTGCATAACGTCCCCCGACAACGGAACGTTGCTGACCGGAGCAGGAGTCCGTCGACTGACAGCGGGAGTTCGCTGCCCCTGCGCTGCAATACTTCCCTCGCGAACTTCACCCGGCATTCGAAGCTGCTGCTGACGCGCGGGATCGACCGAGGGCACGGCCCTAGCAGATCGCTATTTCGGGCTACCTGGGCTGATACCCGCCCCTCCTCGGGCGAAGAAATGGCGGCGCGCGCCCTCGCGATCTCGCTGCGGCGCCCATCGGACTCTCGAAACCTGACGGCGCTGCCCGAATATCGGCGCGCAGCTGCCATTGAATCCGCCGCTATGCTGCGGCTGCGCCGCCGGCGGGTCCACGACCCATATGGCGGCGGCCCATGGCGACGCCGGCCTTGGGCCGTCCTGCGCGCGCGATACCAAGCCAGCAGCTGCGCGCTCACCGCCTGCCAGGCCCGCCACGCAAAGCAAACGCAGCGACGCGCCGCGCGAGTTGGCCACGGCCTCGCGCCCCCAGTGCTCGGCGACGCAGACCCGGCGCTGGATGGGCCAACAGACGAGGTGCTGAAACAAGCCGCGCAGCTGCCCTTCCCAAGCACTTCGCGCCCCGGCGATTCCCGCCCTGGTGGCTTGGCGAACCGCCGCGCGCGACCGGCGCCGAACCGACCCTGGACGCGCGCGAGCCTTCCTCCGCGTGACGCGGCCGCAATCGGCGCGGGGGCCCGCGACACTGTCTCGCGGCGACGATGGGCGATTCGCTGGACGTGGGGCGAGGCGCGGGGGGGGCTTCGGCGATTGGGGCTCTGCGACCCACTCTTGACCCGCGAGCCGCAACGCGACCTCGCCGAGCTTTGCCATGCGAGACTGGCGCGGCCGCGCGCAGCGCGCGCCTCTGCCCGACCTCGACAGCAGCTGCCACAGGGCAATCTCGGCGATGACGGACAGTTGGACACGACCCAGAAAGTCCTCGAACTGCGCACCCTCGAGATGCTGGAGCACCCGTATCCCGTTCGACCACGCGCAATGGCAAACCGCGCCCAGATGATCGCGCGGCACATCGCCCAGCGCTTCGCTCGGCCGAGCCTCAAGCGTCTCGCGCCAAGTCGTGCACGGACAGAGAGAGAACTCGCGCGACTGGATGACTCGCGCGCCCTCCACACGCAAAATGCCGTAGCGTCGCTTTACCCGGAGCGCACTGCACGAACGACTCCAGCGGCGGAGCCCCCCATCGCGCCCTTCGCGAGCTCGCGCCCTGCGCCGCGCCGCGCGCGGAAGCGCGATCCAGCGCGACGCGGCCGAGGACGCCGCCGCTCGCGCCG